GGAGTGGGCAAGTTAGTATAGGGCAATAGAAAGTGGCAGAGTCTGGGCTGGGGATGTGGCTCAAGCGGTAGCGCGCTCGAGGGTTCGATCCTCAGCACCACACACAAACAAAGATGTTGTGTCCGCTGAAAACTAAAAAAAAAAAAAATTAAAAAAATCTCTCTCTCTTTAAAAAAAAAACCTAAATACCACAGGTGGGGTGATTTATAAAGAACACAGGTTTATGAAACCCATGGTTCTGAAAACTGAGAAGGGCAAGATCAAGAGGCTGCTTGTGGCAAGGGCCTTCTTGCTCTTCCCTAGGAGACTCCTCTCTCCCCTGGGCTTGGCATGTCTTCTTCCTGGTCCATCTACCCTCCAACTAGCAAGTGTAGTGTTGGGGGTGGGGGAGGTTGTACTGGGAAATAGAGACCCAGTCCCAAAAGATGGGTTTCATCACCAACTACATAATCTCTGGAGTCCCACCTGGTAGAGGAGGACCATGGGGGGCACAGGGACTGCTTGTACCATTTTTTCCCAGCAGGGTGAGGAATTCGTTTCCTGTGCTGCTGTAACAAATTACCACAAACTGGGTAGCTTGAAACAACAGGAAGTTATTGTCTCTCAGTTCTGGAGGCTAGAAGTCTGAAGTCAAAGAACCGCAGATCTTCCTCAGTTGTTGGTGGCCTCATGTGTCCCTTGGTTGGGGCCATATCACTCCAGTTGGCCTCATCTTCACATGGTGTCTCCTCTGTGTGTCTTACAGGGACACCTGCTGTTGGAAGTGGGGCCCACGGACCTTGTCTTGAGATCTGTCACTTGCTCACATCTGCAAAGACTCATTCAAACATCCATGGTTGTGAGGATTAGGATCTGATATCTATCTCTTTCGGGGGAGACACTGTCCATTCAATCCAGGACAGGCATTGCAGCATCCTTTTCTACCCTTAAAATGTAAAACAGAGATGGCAGGCTGGGGTGGTGGCTCAGTGGCAGGGCGCTTTCCTAGCACATGTGAGGCACTGGGTTCCATCCTCAGCACCACATAAAAATAATAAATAAGTAAATATATAAAAATAAATAAATAAGTAAAAGTCATCATGTCCCTCTACAACACATATATATAAAAGTTGGTGAGGTGGTGCAGCCTGCAATCCCAGCTCCTTGGGAGACTAAGGCAGGAGGATCGTAAATTCATGGGCAACTTATCTATCAATACCTTGTCTCAAAATAAAAATATAGAAAGGGCCAAGCATATAGCTCAGTTGTAGAACACGCCTGGGTCCAATCCCTGATACTGGGAGGTAAAGAGAAGTAAAAGAAAAAAAAAAATCTAAAACAGAATAGAAGTATGCCCAGACCTGCGGGAGGAATTCTAGAAGAACCAGGAAGGCTGCCTGTTTCTCTGGACAGTATATTTATGGAACTAAAATTTCTCTCCCAGCATGGGTGGGGGAAAAAACAGGACTAGCGGCTTTCATCTAAGCATGGATCATACAGAATCCAGGATGTCATCGATGGTGGTGTTGGAGATGCCACACACAGAGGGGCACAGCGCAGGCTTCTGCCCTCGGGACTCATGGTTGAGGGGACACCTCGTCCACCACCACCACAAGAAGGGATTTACATTATAGTTCTGTAGCCTAGGATCATTTCAGGCAGCTAATCAAGGATGACAGACTGGAGGGAGAATTGATGCAGACCAAGGAATGTTGTGACTAAGTGTCTAGGATTTTGATTTTGATTGATATGTTGACTATTGCCATGGGTCATAGGGAAGCAAAAAAAAAAAAAAAAACAAAAAAACCCAGGAAATCAAAAAACCAAGTATCTGCTTGTTTGGTCTCTGTATCTAGCCTGATCATAGCAGAGTCAGAAATTAGACAAAAATGATAGTCGGGGAGGGTCCGAGATAATAAGGTCTCAGCAATTTCTGTAATTTGATTCTTAAAATATGCGGGATAAACTGGCTTCATTTTATCCAGCTTGACATGGTTACAAACAGTTTTTTGGAGTGTTGTAAGAAATAAGAGGAAGTAAAGTATAAGATCAGAAAAAAGAAAAGCTCAGGTCGTATTCCCATGGTGCTTTACAGGCACTGCTACGCATGGATTTTTTTTTTTTTTTTTGGTTTTTTTTTGTACTGAAGATTGAACCCAGAGGCACTTACTCACTGAGCCACATCCCCAGCCCTTTTTTGTATTTTATTTAGAGAGAGGATCTCGCTAAGTTGCTTAGGGCCTCACTAAGTTACTGAGGCTGGCTTTGAACTCGCGATCCTCCTGCTTCAGCCTCCTGAGCCCAGGGGTTACAGGTGTGCACCACTGCGACCGGTTTAGGCATAGATTTTAAAGTCCAGGAGACCAGCAAGCATTTCTGTTAAAGAAAGAAACCCTGATGCCTGGGACTCCAGTTTGCTTAGGTGGCATCTCTTGGTTATATGGGAGCCATCAACAAGTTGGCTCACCCCAGAGATGGCTAAGAGAACCTTCTGATTCTTCCTCCCACAGTCCCATGTGTCCTCAGACTGTCAGCCGCAGTTTGTGGTAATGGAGTAAACAAGGCAAATAAGAGCTGGACGTAGAAACCTTGGGGAGTTTTGTTGGTTCATTTGGGGTTATTATTGCTTAAAAAGCAAGCCCCCCGAGGAGAAGCGTTACAAAGCTTCTCTCAATCCCGCCTCTGTCTACACTCGTCAGCACTGATTTTGCCCCTGCCGTGTTGATTCTGGACAGAAAGAGTAGGTCTCTACACCGTCCCAGAGGGAGCTGCCTCTCTAAGGGGGTGGGATGGCTGTTACACAGCAGGACTGTCCCATGTGTCCTAAGGATGTGGCCCTGACAGATGTGGCCCTGTATTTCTAAAACTCTCACCTCCTTCTTGTTGAAAATCTAGCAAATGAAGAAAAGCTGAAATGAGGAAAATGCAAATTACCTGTGGTTTTACCAGTCAGAGAACAAGTGAGCAGGTGAACTGTGGCATGTTGCCGTGTCCGCCACGGCAGAAATCTTCACACAGAGGGGCTCATCCTCCCAACAACCATATGACGTAGGGCTAGGGTTATCCTTCTTTTATAAACGAGGAAACTGAGTCACAAGAGGGTCAGTAGCTGGTCCAAGATCACTGTTGGTGCGTGTGCAAACGCATGTGAGCTCATTCTTTCATGATCAGGGTTCTGCTCTGTGCACTCCTGAATCTCGTCTTAACGCTATGTCATCTGCATTTCACAAATTCTTATGAATCGCTGTTTCAGTGGCTGCATAGTACTCCATAACTTATTTACCCTTTCCCTCATTGTCGGGCAGGTAAATCTCCCCGAAACGTTCTTCTTCCGTTTTAAGCAAATCGAATCTCTTTGTACATTAGTCTGTGTTTACATTGCTCATAATTTATTTCCATTGGATCAATTCTTGGAAGTAGAAACCTGGAAGGGGATGAGCCACCACATTGCTTTCCCAAAGGATCAGGCTGACTCCCCTTCCATCAGCACATGGAACACCTTCTCCAGAGATTAGCCAGATTGCCTGTTGCTATTTCTTTTTTTTTTTTTCCCTTAGATAAACTCATATTTTTAACCGTTTCCGTGGTTTTTAGTGAGTGCCGTGCTGCTATCACTTTTTTCTAATTCTGAAATATTTTCAAGGTCTCCAGAAGCAGCCCAGTCCTGTTACCATTCTTTCCTAATACCCCTCCCCCTTCAGCCCCTGGTATCTGCAAATCTGCTCTCTGTCTCTGTGGACTTGCCTCTTCTGGACACTTGGGATAGAGGGAGCCCTACACTGTGCTGATTTGATGGATGGGCTCTCTATCGAGTCAGTTCAGTGAGTTGAACACATGTTCATTACTTTGCCCATTTGTGTTTCTTCTTTGGTGAATTGTTTGTTAATGTCTTTCCCTTGTATTGTTTTCGGGGTCTTAGTGTTATTAATTGGTAGTAACTCTTTATATATTAAGGTTAATAACTCCTTGACTATCATATTTGTAGCATTTTTTCCTTCTGCACCAAAATATTTTGATGTGGGTGTTAAAGTGGAAAGAAAGCACAAATGGCAGGGAGAGCCTGGGAAATGTCTGGGTGGGGATGAAAGGGGGCTTTGTCTTGTTGGTGCAACTACAGCTGAATTTGTGTTGTATGAGTCTGCAGGTGGTGCTGATAGCCAGTACAGTCACAGACTTAGCCCCTTTGGTCTCTTCCCCAGATCTCTGCTCAGGCGGCTGCTAGTTGGGGGTCTGGTGCTGGCCTACCTTGAGAAATAGGAATGTTCTGGAGCTGGGGGTGGTCAGCTGGGGCAGAGCTTTACTCTTTCCATTCCCCACACACAGCTTCTGGTGCTTGCCCCCCCCCCCCCAGGCCTCCTCCATGGGCCTCCTTGAGAGCTGTAAGGGAGAGTCACAGTTTGTGGGTCCACTGAGGCTTTGGGTGAGCTGCTCAGCACTGAGGTTTGCACCCATGCATAGAAGATGGGCCCACAGGCCCAATTTTCAGGAACTATGTCACCAAGCAGAGGACTTTGCTACCCGAGCAACACAGGAAATGAATTGGCCCCAAGAAAATGGGTAATTGGGAAGAAAATTTTAATGGCAACAGAGTAGCAAGCGATTTTGCTGTGAATACACAGTGTCTGGGTATCAGCAACATTTGATTCCTAGCCCAGTGCCCTGCAGTTACTTTATTTTGTTTAAATAACTACATCACTCACCCCCTCTGCCATTAAAGATTGGGGGGATTAAGACATAACTGGCATGTTGGATTCTAAAAAAGCAGATGGATGTTTCTGCCCTGCCAGGTACCGAGTTGCCAGGGGGCTGTTCCCTGCAGTGGAGCAGTTCTGTTCACTCGGAGGTCTTAGTGGACTCCTTGAGGTTGCAGGCAGCATCTGGGTGTGAGTGCGTGTGTAAGCGTGCCTGACTCTTCCATCAAGTTCAGAGGGGTCCTTGGCCCCAAGGCCCAGGATGCAGGTCCTTGGTGGGGTGGCATCCCAGAGCGGGGCCCGTGGACTCATGTCACCCTGTGCTTGCAGTGCTGGTGAAGGGCCAGGTGACCACCAAGTACTACCGGCTGCTGTCCAAGCTGGGCGGCTGGGTGTGGGTGCAGAGCTACGCCACCGTCGTGCACAACAGCCGCTCGTCCCGGCCCCACTGCATCGTGAGTGTCAATTATGTCCTCACGTAAGTCAGCCCTATTGTTCCTCCCCTTGTTCCTCCTCCTGCCACTCATCGCATCGCTCCAAAAGTGTCACCTAACTCTCTGTCTCTTTCCAAAACCGTTCATTTGTCTCCCGTTTTGTTTTTATTTGAACAAAATAAGAGTCCAGTTTTGGGGGAGGGTCCAGATTTTCCCACGCTCAGCAGAGAGGAGTGAGTGCTGGGGGGGCCTCAGATCCCAGCACAGAGCCCGGGGGGGGGGTTGGGGGAAGCCCCCACCTTGAACAGGGTACAAAGAAGTGCACATCTGGATCAGGAATACAAGCTCACATAATCCATGTCCACAAACCATCTTGAATGCTTCTGCGATTTGGGACAGAGGAAATCTCTCATTTCCCATCATCTATCCATATAGCCTGTTGCAAATGACAGAGAATACTGAAAACTCCCGAAGGTCAAGTTCAGTTGCAAATACATTTAAGGCCATTGGAAGCAACTGAACATGAGTCACTCTGCCCACCAAAGCTTTTGTGTATTAAACCACCTTGACCCCAGGCTTAGTCCTGTACTCGATGTCCTCATGGTCCCCCAGCACCGCGGAAAAGAGCCCTCATTTGTGTTCTAAATGCAGTGGTGGGGCCAGGGGTGCAGAGCACTTGCTTAGCCTGCACAAAGCCCTGGGTTTGATCTCAAAAAATGGAAGGGAAAAAAAAAGGCAATGAGGAGTTAGGTTCCAGGTTCTGCACAGAGCGACTGCTGGGTTTCTGTGTGTTAGCTGCACAGTGGTCCCGGCAAAACTGTAAGGGAGAAATGATTCCGCCCTTAGTTATTATTCTCGAGCACCGAGGTGTTGGCTGGACTTGGGGGGCCGCCTCTCCTTCCAGGAACACAATGCTGAGCTGGCTGCCAGGATGCTGATGCTGTCAGGAGCCCCTGGTGTGAAAGCCGACAAGGCCAACTCCAGGCTCCCAGCCCTTACAGGGCCCCTCACTCCCACTTCCCGGGTGCTCAACAGGAATCAGCCGGGTCACAGATGTGCACCAGGGATGAGATGATGTGATTAGTGGCACTTTGGCCCTCCCTTTTGCCTTGACAGCCGTAGTGGCCCACGATGTCCCCAGGAATCGTGTTTGGGGCTGTATGGGATTGGAGAGGGCTGTTCTGACCTCCCTCGATTCCAGCCAAATAGCACTGATCTTGCCAGCATTCCTGGGTCACCATCTTGGGGCTTCAGGCAGCTTTTATAACAAGATTGAGCTGTCCTGTCCTCAAATGCCACCCACACTCAACCTCAGTGAGAGGATCCGAGGAATCTGGAGAAGGAACTCGCTCAGGGGACGGAGCCAGGGAAGCCACTCTTCCCCCACTGCTCCCCCACATGACAGGCCTGCTCTCGCTTTCCAGGGACGTCGAATACAAGGAACTTCAGCTGTCACTGGACCAGGTTTCCACTTCTAAGTCCCAGGACTCCTGGAGGACCACCTTGTCTACCTCACAAGAAACTAGGAAATTAGCTAAACCCAAAAACACAAAGATGAAGACAAAGCTGAGGACATACCCTTACCCCCCACAGGTAACCCTCACGTGGTACGGGATGCAGCTGACGTCTGTTCCAGGGGCTTGGGACACCCTGGGTATGCTAAGGAGTGACGGCCCTCTGAACACGTAGCTGGATATCTCTATAGAATGAAGCGGGTCCCCAAGGATGTCCTGCCCATAGGGTGGTGACACAGCCTGGGGACAGCTGACATCCAGGTGGACTTGTCAAGAATAGGAACTAGAAGACCATTGGGAGGGCACATGAACTGTGAGACTCCATGTAAATAGGGGTTAGAACCACATCACATATGTCATGTTTTCATAATAAATTTTTTAAAATGAAACCCCTTATTTATTTTTTTAGTTCTAGCATGGAACTCAGGGGCACTATACCCCTGAGCTGCATCTCCAGCCCTTTTTATATTGAGACAGGGTCTCACTAAGTCTCTGAGGCTAGCCTCAAACTTGTGATCCTCCTGCTTCAGCCTCCGAAGCAGCTGGATTACAAGTGTGCTCCCTCCCCTCCCCCTTTTAAAGCACTTGGTGTTCTGTCATCTATAACAAGTGTCCATGTGCATTTGGTATGTTTTTAGTTTGGGGTGGGGGTCTCTTTCCATCCAGGGGGTGGGTCACTGGGGTAGGCCCACCTTGGCATGGGGCAGGGACATAGCTTACCCACAGCCCCTTGGCTAGCCTCCATCCGTCTTCTTTCCATGCAGCAATACGACTCCTTCCAACTGGACAAACTGGAATGTGGCCAGCTGGGAAGCTGGAGAGCCAGTCCCCCCGTAAATGCCTCGGCTCCCCCAGAACAGCAGCTCCATTCAGAAGGCAGTGACCTTCTGTACACGCCGTCCTACAGCCTGCCCTTCTCCTACCATTACGGACACTTCCCTCTGGACTCGCATGTCTTCAGCAGTAAAAAGCCAATGTTGCCAGCCAAGTTCGGGCAGCCCCAGGGATCCCCGTGTGAGGTGGCACGCTTTCTCCTGAGCACGCTGCCAGCCAGCGGCGAATGCCAGTGGCATTATGCCAACCCCCTAGTGCCTAGCAACCCGTCTCCAGCTAAGAACCTTTCTGAACCGCCCACAAACGCTGCCCGGCACAGCCTCGTGCCAAACTATGAAGGTGGGTCCTGTTGGCAGGCGGGGACACCGCCTGGGGGCTGTGGCGGTAGGTGGTGGTGGGGGCAGACAGAAACGGAGTCCTCAGGATTTGGGTGAACCTTGCCCTTCTCTGCTCCTAAGTACAGCTTCCCTGCTCTCCTGTGCTTCACAAGAGAGAAAGTCCCCTGTGCCTCGTGCACACCAGTGGCACTATAAAGGGGACAGGGACGCTGAGCATTCAGACTCCATATAAATTCGGCATCCTCCTCTCCACAGGGAGGCCTGTGATTTCCAAACCCCCTCCCAGGTTTTGAGAACCCCCAGGTCCAGTTATTTATTTATTACTTATTCTTGTTTGGGCTGGGCTGGGGATCGATAGGTCTGTTGTTTTACACGATTGCTTTTCACTTTACCCCAAAATGATCTTGAGAGACAAAGAGGCTTCCAATTTCCTTCTCATGCTGCTTTCAAAGTGCAGAAAAAGAGTAGTGATGATCCATGGGCTCAGGGACAAAAGTGCCACTCACCAGATCTAGAACAAATAACAAACTCTCCAGGTCTCAGTCTCTTCATCAGTCAGATGGGATCATAAGCCATGTGATGTGTCTGCCTTGACTTGCCAGTTCAAACCACAACAAAGATCAGAGTGGCTTTCTCAGCCTTCTCCCCCTGGTGGCAAGTAAGCAGTCCTTAGTGGAGTGCCACCAGTTGCTCAGGACACCGACCAACTCCTTTGACTTATTGGACCAACCCCAAGAAGAGGGTGGAAGGTGGGGACTGAGGGTTAGCTGCAGGAGATGTATACCTGATCCACCCAGACCTGACTGAGGCTCAGACTACAGACCAAGATGGTGTGAATGTCCTGCGGCTGTTACTAGGATAGCGGTAAATGTAGATGATGTGCCCAGGAGGCTGAGATAGATTCATACAAACCTGAGATTTCATGGGAGGAATCTAACCTTCTTGATGATCATGAGGAAATGTTTTTCAAAAGTAGACAATTTAAAAAGGACCACATCAGCCATCAGGGCCTGCCATCCTGTCTTGGGCCTGGGCCTGTCCTAAGAGCCAGGTATTCCTCAGATTTGTATTCCCAGTACCCCCTGGTCACTGGGTCCTTCACAAAGCCAAGAAAGGGATCATTCTGAACGGCCAAGGGAAGAAAAACAAAGTGAAGGGTTTCGACAATAGTTGACGATATTACTCACTTGAGATGGACTTAAAAATAATTGTTTTTTCTTTGGGGGTTGGTATTGATATGATACACAGAATTTGATTTTTATTGATATTTTAAAAGTGAAGGAGGTTAATAACTACCTGCATATCATAAGCTTGGTGGGAGGGGGGGACACCAAAGATGTTAATTTGAGGCAATTTGTGATCAACTTCCTAATCATTTGAGTATTAAAGGAAGACAAAGGTCCTCATAAAGTAAAAAGCCCAGGTTGCTAATTGATGTCAGGCATGTAATTGAGAAGGCTGGTTTAATTATGATCCTCTCAGCAGGGCAGGGCAATTAACAGCGCCTCTCCAGGGATAAGCAAAAACCAGGGTAGACTGGAGGGCCTTGGTAGCCTCTAGACCCCTGTTGTTCAATAAGGTGGCATTAGCCGGCAAGGCCATCCTCGGACATGGAAAAGCGGCCAGTGCTGTGGAAGGGGTCCACTGGCTTTCAAGAAAGTACCCTCTTCCCCACCAAAAAATAAACAGTTTTTAATACTGATCGCCATCGACGTACCCTGGTGTGCAGCATTAGGTACATTAGTCCTCACGAATTCCACCTGTTTTTTAACACGCTCGCAGGACATTTGCAATTGTCCCTTGTGGTTGCACAATGCGGGCCTGGAATGCACGCGAGAAGGACGGTGGCAGCCCGAGGGTTGGGCGCGGGTGGCCGAGGGGTGGCGTTGCTTGGGGCAGGCCCTTCCCTCCCTGGATGCCAGCATCTAACGTATCGCCTGTCTCCGCAGCGCCCGCCGCCGCCGCCGCGCGCAGGTTCGGCGAGGACACCGCGCCCCCGCCGCCGCCGCCGAGCTTCCCGAGCTGCGGCCACTACCGGGAGGAGCCCGCGCTGGGCCCGGCCAAGGCCGCCCGCCAGGCCGCCCGCGACGGGACGCGGCTGGCGCTGGCCCGCGCGGCGCCCGAGTGCTGCGCGCCGCCGGCCCCCGAGCCCCCGGGCGCGCCCGCGCAGCTGCCCTTCGTGCTGCTCAACTACCACCGCGTGCTGGCCCGGCGCGGGCCGCTGGGGGGCGCCGCGCCCGCCGCGCCCGGCCTCGCCTGCGGCCCCGGAGCCCCCGAGGCGGCGGCCGGCGCGCTGCGGCCCCGGCACGCAGGCCCCAGCGCCGCCTCGCCGCCCGGCGCGCCCCGGCCGCACTACCTGGGCGCCTCGGTCATCATCACCAACGGCAGGTGACCCGCCGGGCTGGCTCCGCCCAGGCAGGGCGGCCGCAGGGAGAAGCCATAGGCCAGGCCTTCTCTGGTTCCTAGTTCACAAAGTCCAGCGGAGGAGAGGGGCGAGCTGTGTATGCACCAATAAATTAATTTATACAGAGACAACTATTTTAATAGAACGCAGCCGACCTTGAGGCGTGACCTAGCTGCCATGTACCCCCGTGGAGAGGACCCGGAGCAGCCTGAGGTCGGCACACGGCCGCCCATCCTTGTTCTCCAGGGGTCCATCTTCAGACAGAGCCCAAGGTCGCGGCATCCGACGTGTGACCTCAAGCTACCCGGCGCCGGGGTCTCGGTTTCCTCACCTTGAAATCCAGCTTAAGGCATCTAGCCCGGTCTCTGATGCTCAAAAACAGGGGCTTTAAGGCATTGCAACTCCATAAATACACTTTAAGGAGGGCGACCTCGCCCTGGCAGCTAGCATGCAGGAAGAGGAAGCCTACCGATTTCCGAGCCCTTTTTGATTCTTAGGTACAGGAAGAATGTGATCATTGTAAGTCCCATGAATAGACAACAACTCCACTGTCTTTAAAAGTCATTCATGATTTAAAAAAAATTTTTTTTTTTTTAGTCCTTTCTTCAATACAAAACAAGCCAAGACCAAGGGGGTGAACATGCAAGTCTGTTGTGTGTGGCCATGGGTGTGCTTCCCAAGTACACGGTCAAGCTCTTACTCCCCCTTCCCTTTCCTTATGAACTCTTGGTAACACCAGGAATAGCACCTTCAGAATATATTGAATAGGCATTAAATGCAAAAAAGAATATATAGCCAGATATTTTATGAGAATGACCTTGTCAAGCTTAATTCCACGGCAAAGTCCCTCTGTCCCACACAGATCTATAATTCACTAGGCTCGTGTTTGCTACAAGTAGTGCTAATGAAGTTAGTTACATTGCATGTGCAATATGGAAAACTGTCATGGACTGCACCTTGTGGAAGACAAACTTGCTTCAAGGGTGTAATGAAAATGATGGACACATTTTAAGCATTTTCTGCATTTTATACATAGCAAGAGCGCTTCATATGAATGTGTCATGTGTGTAACAGGTGAACAGAGACCCTTTTATAATGCACCAGCAGTGTTTTCAAAATAAACTTCCAATACTTTTGGTTTCACTCTTACGATTTTTTTTTTCTTAAAGATATCACCATTGGATCTGAGGGAATAGATGCATTGAGTTACCACCTTTCAATGTGCTCTGCACTAAAAACAACTGTATCCCTTTGCTGCTTTTTCAAAGCTTATTTAGGAAATTCTTCCACCTTTCTGAATAGAAAGAGGTTTTCACATGCTTTTAACTCATCCTTCTAGAATCAAAGTGAGAATGCATAGTGTTCTCACAACGTAAACTGATCTTTTGCCAACCCTGCGTCAGCAAGGACCCTATGTAATCTCTTCAGGGTATCAGTTGGCTTTATAGTATGCAGGTTAAATTTTGCAAATTTAGGAACATGTGTCATGCACAAGGTGACTGGGTCACAGATGGGTACACACACCTCTCTCCTGCACTGAGCTACACCTCACTAGCTGCTCTGATGGAGTGTGTACACACATAAAAGAAGCCAAGGGTATTCTTTCTTATGGTCACAAGTCTCATAATTAAACCATGATTCTTGCAAGGTGTAGGTTTGATTAATGGGAGACATCACCAACATTTTTCAATAAAGTACCACAAAATGTTTTAACATCTACCTGGTTATTAGCCTTTGGGGCTATATTTAGTACACACAAATCAGGAAGCCTTCTGGAGCAGGTCAATAGCTGAGGAACAAATGACAGTGTCAATAGACTTAACCAAGAGTGTGTACTTAAAGATAAAATGTGTGCTCGTGGAAAATTCCTCATCTGAACAAATATCAGAATTTTCACAGCCTAGAACGGGAAGGAGGATTCCTCTCTCAAAGCCCCTTTCAAGACCGCAGGGGCTCAATGCAAAGTTGGCAAGCAGTTACCACGGCAACCTAATATTGTTCCCTCCATCTTCAAGAGTCTGCACACTGAAGCCGGCGCGGTTCCCCGACTTCTGTGAGGCTCTAGCAGGGGAAGAGGAAGCATTTTAATAAATATGCCTCCCTTTGATAAAAAAAAAAAAAAGAAGAAAAATTGTACTGGGCCCTAACATGTACCATGTTGACAAAAATACCAGATCAAATGGATTTGAGACATAAGCCCAATTCAGGACTGGCTTGGCCCTCCAAGGGGCCTCCCAGGGAAAGGAATTCCTTTATATTCTTGGAAGCCCTTTTCTAGAAAAGCCATTCCATTCATACCTCTGCAGGGATGTGAGCGGGTGTGAAGGGCCCTGAGGAAATCTGTAAGAGCCCCTATTGCCCCCACCCCCACCCTTTCATCCCTTTAAAAGTCCTGTGAGGCATGCCCCCCCCCCCTTCCAACTAAGGCAGGATTTCCAATGGTCCATACATAAAATTCACCCAGGTTGTAATTTATTGGAAGTGTACATTGAAGTAGACTGCGGGGGCTACTTCTGATAAGATGGGAAGCCAAAGAACATTTTCAAATAAATGCCATAAAATTACAGTAGCTTAAAATTTTGGTGAATCATAGTCTGTTGGTTATTTAAGATGCATGGGTCAATGTGTTCCTGAGCTTAGGTATATGCTATGTAAGATTAAAATCTTGGGGGGAAAGCTTTTGACAAAAGTTGAACAGTTTTCACAAAAGAAAAGCCCTAAAAGAACAGAATCTAGAAGTTGTTAGATTTCTTTCTCATCACCACTAAAGCTTTGTTGTTGTTGTTGTTGTTTTCTTTTAACCTTTGCTAATTTTTTTCTTTGGAATAACAAGATTGCTCTTTTGTCAAAAATACATAAAAACAAAAACACATCAAGCTTCTTAATATTTAGAAATACATCCATATTCCTTATTACGTAAAACTTAATTTATTTTGTAAAAAAGTCTTTAAATATAAACATAAAATACTGTAACTAAAACAAGTGCCTATTTAAAAAAATTAAATGTGTAGTAGAAATACGAACAAACTCAAAACATAGAGAAAGTACATAGAGTTTATTTTGGTAGACTTGCTTTTTATAGGCATTGGTTTAAAGTGATTCTTTTCACAGATGATTCTTTGAAAAGCTAAAAAAAAAAAAAAAAAAGCAAAGGTTTACATTTCCTTTTATTTTAAAGATGCATAGTAATGACCTGGAAATAAGGATTCTGCCATTCCTGTCTGTGAGAGCCAGCAGATGGAGAGAAGGGAAGCCCCACTGGCCTCCTCTTGGCCCCCTCTGGAATCTCCTTTGCACTCTGTGAGGCTGGCTGCTCCCAGACACTAGAGTGAGAGGCCATCGTACAGTATATTGGGGGTCAGGGGCCACCAGAGGCTGCAGTCCCTTGGCTTTCACAGACCTGTGCATCCACCCCTCACCGAGGCTGGATAGGCAGGCTACTTGCTCCCGTGTCAGGTCACGCCGATGTTCTATGGCATGATCCACCAGACCCAAATCCTTCCTCCTTCCTCTACGTCCCTGACAGCATGCTCACCTTGCTTCAGGGGGCCATATGAAAGCCCCTTCCCGCTGTGTGTCCTGTTCTGGAGCATTTCCTCACCAGTCCAGAAGTGGGGATACCTCGCCTTTTAACAAAACCTGGAGGCACTCAATGAAACTGGGGGACAATCTAGTGATCTACAGTTTAGTGGCTACGGATGAAAAGTTATGAGGAAACACAAAGTTTCCATGAAGACTTTAAAGCTCCTTGAGATGCCAGATTGCTGAGCACAGAAATCCCCCAGTTGTAGAGTGTGGGTAGCCTCTGGCAGACTTCCCCAGCTCTACTGTACGCCTTCATTCTCTGCATTCGGCAGAAATTCCAAGTCTTTGGTTTGTGTGAGGCAAAACCAGGTTTATGGAAAACATAGCATCTGCTTCATGTCTATTTTGTCTCCCTCAAGACAACTCGATGTCCTGACGAGCAAGAGTACCCTTAAAAAGCTCAATTGCTGAGGCCAAGCAGTGCGCCCACAACATCTCCGGCTGCTTTGACATGGCCACACTTCATTAGTTTTAATTTACAGAAAGGAAATTAAATGATAACATTTTTTTCCCAAAGCAGAACTGTCCAGAATAGGCCTTCAGCTTAAAACAAAAACATAGCATGTTTTTCATTAAATAATCCCCCAAAGAAATTCAAAATTCAAAACGCCAGCTCTGAGGGATGACTGGCCTTATATTACAAAGTTTAAGAAATGAAACTTGCAACATTAGCTGGAGATCTTTGTCCTTGATGATATTCTGCAGACTCCCTCTCAAGGGTGAGTCCATTTTCCAATTTTGGGGTGGTGTGACTTTTATTTTAACTCATCACTAATTCCAAAAGAAGACCTGGGCATTTAAGAGAAAGTGATTTTTTTTTTTAAAGAAAAATAATTCTAATCGGAGCCTTATTTGCAAAAATTACTTTTGAAGTTCTTTTTTAAAAAAAGTTACATTTCCAAAAGACACATATTGGATTGGTGTACTTAATGAAACATGTTATTTTTTTCCTCCTATGGGGCTGTCTGTGTCTGACTAAAGGTAGACAGATTTTTATACTGAAAACCGCAAGTTTCTGGAATTAGCCTGACTGCGTAAGACCTGGATAAAGACGGTGCTAGTTTACAATGAGGGGATTTTGTTCAAAGCTGAGGGCTCCATCAAGTTTTCTTTCCACTAACTTCAATTGGGACTGGCAGGAAGAGAGAAGAGGGGACAAAAATTGGCTCTTTAAGGCTGAAAAGTAATGGGTGTGATTCATACGCTCAACAGAGATAGGAGTTGTATGGAAAAAGTGTGGGTACATCTGGAAATGGCCAAGATACAAAGGCTTCCTTCCCTTTGTTCTTCCATGGAGACTTTTAGCACATTGGATTTTGAAGGTTTTCTTTTAAAGCCACACACGCACACGCACACACATGGAGAGAGACACCCCCACACACACATACTCCCTCTCTCTCTCTCTCTCTCTGAACTGATGGCACTCAGTTTCAACATCATTTTCTCTCTTGGCAATATACGGAAACAGGGGGCAAAACACCTTACAAACGCAATGCCATGGATTGGATCCTCTGTGTACTGCGTGGTCTTGTAGGAATGCTACACATTTTGAAATGAGCCTGAAATTGGTTTAAAAGCTTTAAAAATCCTCCCTGAGTGTGAAACTGAACCTTCATCTCCAGCTGTTAGAGCCCAAGCATCTACTCCTGCCTCTAAGTAGTGCCCCACCGATGCTTAAAAGATCTTGAACTTGATCAAATCTCTTCAGAATATGCAGTAAACTTGAACTTGGGAAGAAGAGCACATAAAATAATGTCGAAGTACTTGACTGATTTCCTCTACAAGTCACTGCGACCACGCCAGCTGGATGCCTCTCTAAGCCTGCAGACATGGTTACGGGGCCACCACAGTGGAGAGCAACTCTTGGAAGCCTGCCTTCTCTTTTCTTCACAAACACAAATGTAAAATAATTAAGTGCCACTGTCTGTTCTGGTGGGAAAATCTCTCCCTGGATGCTCAGGGACAGTGATCAGATACCTCTAACCCACCACTGGCCTGGACTGCCATGTTTTGATTTGCCTTTTTTTTAAATCTACAGTATATATATGTGTATGTATGTGTGTATGTGTGTGTATATATATATGTGTGTGTGTGTGTGTGTGTGTGTATGTATGTATGTATGTTATAGATGGACACAATACCTTTATTTTATTTATTTATTCCTATGTGGTGCTGAGAATCAAACCTAGCGCCTTCCTAAGTGCTAGGTGCTCTACACCTGAGCCCCAGCCCCAGCCCTTGATTTGCTTCTTAATAGCCTGGTGGTAAAGGTCTCCTCTCCTGGGAGAGCATCTGACTTAGTCCTTTGCTGTTTCCACATAACATTTCCCCCCCAATAAACACAAATTCAAGCCCAAAGGGGAAGAGTGATTTCACACCTGTCGAGGGGCTTTACCTACACTGAATCTTCCACCTGTCAACCCTCTATCTAGAAGTACCATCAAATACCTGATAAAATAACAACCACAAAATAATCAGAAAAGCCCAGAAATATAGAAAAAAAAATAATGAATTATGAAATGACTTGGAGGGAGAAAAACAATCCACCTAGAACTCTACATGAGTCTTCCAGCTCCCCTGGTGAGGAAAGGCGGCAGCGACACCCGCAGAGCACCTGTGTGGCTCTGCCAGGCCCCTGCCATCTGCAGACACGCGCCACCCAGCTCCTGCTCTACCGCCGCTTGGGCAGGATGAGGTTCCGCAGCATGTCGAAGGAGTTGCCGTCCGGGTGCACAGTCACCACCTCACCGCCCTCCTGATGAACCTGCAGGAACCCGGAGTCATCGAGGCCCACTATGGACACCTTCGGCCCCTCGGCACTTCCCAGGCGGACTTGTTGACCGCTGAAAAGGAAGCACAGCAGGTCACTGGGAGTACAGTGGGAGGCTGGCTGCGGACAAGTATCTGAGTGTTTATCCCATTATGCAAAGGTGGGGTCCCAGGGAGAGGGTGAGGCTAGCTAGTGGACCTTCCCTGGTCCCAGGTGACTGGTTAACTACTACTCAAACGACAGGGTGGTTGGTGGGTTGGACTCTCTTAAGCCACTGACACTCCCAATTCTGATCACCCTGCTGATTCCCTCACCCCCTCCACCCCTCAAAGGCCACAGTGCCACTTCTCTGGGTTGTTGGGTTGAGACTTGGGGCAGGAAGGCTGAGTCAAAATAAAAGACTGGTCTTACAAAATAAAGCTGAACAACATCAATTACAAGAGAAATTAATTCTGATCTTGCTTTCTTTGAATATTTTCCAGATGTACCTGTTCATTACATCCTTGTTAATTGTTTTCAGAATGGAGAATTCCCTCATACCTTAATTTTAATTTTGTATCATTAAAATTTTTATTTACTTATTTATTTATTAATTTATTTTTAATGGTGCTGGGGACCTTATATGCTGGGTAAGCTCTTTACCACTGAGTTTCATCTATAGCCCCTCAAATTTTTATTTTGAGGAATTCCAAACCTATAAAAAAGTTGAAAGAACAGTCCAACAAACCTCATCTCCCTTCATTTATATTCATACCAAATAATAACATTTTCTGTATTTGCTTTCTCTCTTCTCACACACACAAACACATTTATTTTTTCTGCATCATTGAAAATAAGTTTCAGGCATCATGACACTTCATGCTTAAATACTTTAACATATATCTCCTGCGAAGAAGAACAATCTCCTATAAAACCATATAACACCACTGTCACCCTCGAGAAATCTGGTCTTGATACACTAGTGATATCTAATGTACATTGTACATATTAGATACATGCTATCTCATATATGTGTAGCTAGTCTTTGTGCAGATTTCCCCATGTTCAATGGCTATCCTCTAAACACAACACGTTTACCTATCATGCCTCTTTAGCCTTCTTTAATCTCCAGCAAGTCTCGGCCTTCTCTTTGTTTGCGGGTTTGAAGACACTGCCTTTCCAAAGGTGGAGGCTGGTCATTACACCTCAGAGGTTCTCAAAGGTTAGCTGTAGGAGAGTCCCTGGAGCATCCATCCGCACACAGTGTGCAGCCAGGATTTAGTAGGTCCTGGCTGCGAATTTGCCTTTCTAACAAGTTGCCAGATGAGGCTGCCCCTGTTTCCTGGAGATCTCACTTTGAGAACCACTGTTCTAGAACATTCCACCACTTAGATGTTTTGATCATTTTCTCTCAGAACATAATAAACTGATTTTAAACACTTTCAACATTGTGTCCTCCCCTCACATCCTACCGGGAGGTATGAGATGCCTGCGTTCCCACTCCTGGCAACGCTAAAAGTTGGTCACTATGGTGGTGCCCACTGGGATTCTCCATCATGAAAGTGAAAACTAATTACTCAGACCAGGATCCAGGGCCTTGTTTTAAGACACTATTTTAACCAAGGAATTTTAAAAGAATGGAGACAAATGAGCACTGACCTGTGTATCCAGTATTTGTAATAAAGGGGAAGAACACCATTGGGCCCTTTGTCCTGGAACGTGTGGATCAGTGTCTCCAGCACCGTCACCGTCCTGGCGATGAGGTAATCTGCTCGCAGGGGCTTCAGTGCTGCATTGTGCTGCTTATTGTATTCTGTGACGAGATCATTGATGCAGATGGTAGGATTACTGTTGGTTACATTGAATCCACAGCCTGGGCAAAAATAAACAAATAATTGATAAAATGAGCAGTTCAACATCTTGATGGTATCACACATTCCTCTCCACCACCTGGAAAAAGTTAGTGATTGTTTTGTGGTTGTTACTGTAGTGCTGGGGATCCACCCCAGGGCCTTGTCCCACGTCAGGCAAATGCCCTACCACGGAGCTGCATCCCAGCCCTACAATAATTGTTTCACTTCCTTATCATTTCATATCTACTATCTCTGGCTACGTAGAGACTGATATATCTCTGAGACCATCTTCCTTTTTATCCTTCCTATATAAGTGAGGACCATCTCAACTTCACTAGAAAGAATAAGTTGGGGGGAAAAGTCACATCTCACTGAATTTAATTAAGCAGAAGCTATTATTGCAGCAGAACTTAGTGTTACTTCTGAAATAACGACTCTCATGTGGTCTAGCTAGGAATTGTGCTCTGTATCCAGCCCAAAATGAAGTATTCATTTATTTTCCTACTTGAAAAGAGAGAATACATGCTTGAAGAGAGAGAATTTTATTCAGGGCTTAAGGCGTAAACTCTGGATTCACAGATTTCAAACCTTTGCCACGAGACATCCCTAGAACACAACTAATATTTTATCCTCGGAAGCCTCCGGGGCTGAGGCTCTGCTGTTGGGAAGGGGCAAGTTCCTAGGTGTGGTGTTTGAATTCGCTCCTCTGTGCTTACTGCTCCCATCCTCTGGGGGAGGGGTGGTGACTTCAGAGGAGCCCAACCTCAGCCTGCAGCAGGTCCCTGAATCAACCTAAGAGGTTTTAAATAAGAAAACAGGACTGCAAGAGCTAGGTCAAGGCCATCACACGGTCAGTGCCTCTAAGAAAAAAGTCCCCACAACATTTGCTTCAGGTGCAATGACACACCTATAGTGATAGGACTCTTCAGGAAATGTTTGGCCTTTATTAATGTAAAGGGATGGATGGGCTAGCCTCTGATTTTTAAAAGCATATCTCAGTTATTAAAACACAAAGCAATGTAAACTGCACTGGGGAAAAAAAAACAAGTATTTATGGTAATGGGCAGGATCTGCAGCTGTGCCTTTGTCCACTTATCCAGCAACATATCTGAAGCACCTATTGAAAGCTGAGCATTAAACTGAGAGCGATCCAATGCTGAAAATCTCCCCTGCATTCAAAAACTTGAAAGTCCTAGGAAGATTAGTGACATTAACTACTGTCAACTTAGGCTCTGTCCTTCCAAGGACCAAAGAACACCCTGCTGACAACTCTGAATCTTTCCCTGGTTGAAGATTGCCCCTAGCCTCCAGTGGCCTTAAGAATTTAGTAAAAGCTACGGATTCATTCCCCCTTGTAGACAAAAATCTTTAGCTCCAAAACTAAATTAATTTCTTCAATTCCAAAGCCATCCCCAGGCCTCTTTGATATCTGTGAACACCACTTGGAAATTTTTGCAACTACCTCAATAATTCATTTAAAGATAGGCAACGGAGCTGTAAACTATGAAGTAGCTTGCCCACAATAATACCGCCAGTTGGTAGCAGAGCTGGAAACATAAGCCTTGTGTTCTTTGGCTGGCACTTCAACACATGGTCACATGTTTTCTGTCCATTACTGATTTCTGAACACCAATTAAATTCTACTGGGCATCAGGGGCACGTCGGCAGTTAGATGAACAGGGACCTAAGAACTTCTGGAAATGACTCTGAATCATTCTTCTTGCCTGATCTGAATATGCAGAGGTGAAACGGGGATTCCGGACCCCACCTTGACCAGCCTGCAACTGCTTTGAAAGGTTAAAAAGAAGAAAACTCTTTCATGGCTGGAAGGTCAAGGCTCTGTGGCACAAACCTGTAATCCCAGCAGCTTGGGAAGCTGAGGCAGGAGGATCACGAGTTCAAAGCCAGCCTCAGCAACTTAGTAAGACCCTGTCTCTAAATAAAATACAAAATACAGCTGGGGATGTGGCTCAGTGGTCGAGTGCTCCTGAGTTCAATCCCTGGTACCCCCCCCCCAAAAAAAAAGAATGTAAGGTCAGAAGGAGAACTCTTAGAAATTAACCTTCTTATTACATAATGGTATATTGTTTATTTTCATTTCAAATTCAATGATAAGCTGGAGTGTGTGAGGGATAAGAACCACACCTGTTTGATGTGATACCATCTGGTGGTTTCCATGGCCTTAGTCAGGAAATTCTAAGCCCTGGAAGTGCTCTCAACCACCTTGGTCCTCTCTGCACATTACCATGCTCCATAAGACCCAGAAAAGTTATCCCATTTGACAATCCGCTCTTCCCCTTGTAGGCATGAATGAGCTGTTTTAATTTTTGTTGTTTTATTAATCTAAAAACTGCAAATGGAAAGGCTTTAAAAACTTACCAATAAGTATATAGAATGTTTCTCCCATAAGGGTTGAGTTAACCAGAACTCCTCCGATCTTCATAAGGTCACTGTAATAAATATCGTTGGGCCACTTCACTCGCAAGTTGATATCCTAAAGGAAAATCTGCACATTAATGAAGCAATCACAGGACACAGAGGGATGAGATGGAGTCATTGAGCCGAAAGAAGATGAGCAGAATACTCCTGAAACTACTGCATCAGAGGCCTCGCCTGGGCCTTCTCCGTTTTTCAGACAACTAATCACTTCTTGGGGACAATTCAATATTGAAGCAGCTCTTGGGGCCAGAAGGTGAGAGACCTAGAGAACATACTTAGCATAAACCCCAGAACTCTCCCCTACACCCCATCACTGCTTTTCATCATCAAAGACACTTTCTGAAGATGCCTCCTGTGAGTCAAGTTCATCAATCACCTCAGTATCAAGAGCCTCCAGCGAGGTGTGCCTATCTCGTGCTAGGTGCAGGGGGCAGGAAGAGAAGGACACTCTCAGGGTTCACTCCCTTCCAAAGATCGTGCTCAAAAAACAACATGCCCCTGAATTACCAGCATCATGAATGTTGGTTGATTCAGTCCACATTGTTGAGACACTGTAGAAGTGTCTTGAGCAGAATGCTATGAAGACCCAGAGGAGGGACTTGTTTTACTGAGTTATTAGAGAAAACCCTGAAGATCTTCCAACAGTCAACTTGGACAACAGAAGTGGACTTGTCATGTGGTCCGTTACAACTCCATCTTGGGGATCTGTTTGTGCCCTGGTCACAGTAGAATGGACCAAGAGGAGATACTGCTTTGAGTGAGACCACCCGGGCCTTTACCACCCATATGAGCAGAGACGGGACTGGACCATGTGGACGTCATAGCCACCAGGCTCAGACCTGAGGCTGGCAGCTAGGTCTGGCCATGTGGGGTAAAGGAGGCTCCTCTGGGGACGTGAAGCTGGGAAAGAGACACTGGGCACTATGAAGCCAGAGACCAGAGAGCAGCTGGTGGTCTCCAGGTCCTGCGGGGCTCGTCAACCTGCACTGTGTCCCAGGCACAGCACCGAGCCCCTTCTCAGCACGAAACTCGCCTGCTGGGACTAGTCTCGTCTGTATGGAAGAGATTATGTGGCTGCCTGAGGTTCCAGCACTTGGAAGTGTGAAGCTGGGATTCAGACCAGGCCTCCCCGACAGCCAGGCCTGGGTTCCAACACTGTGCCGTGGGGCCTGCTGCTCCTGTGAAGCCCTCCTTTCTGACAGGCTTCTTACCTCCCCTGCTCTAGAAGCTCTGCGGTCCTAGCACAGCAGCCTGGGCTGAGAGCAGAAGTGCAGGAGCAGCCCAAGCACCAATAACGTGGGGTGCTCACAACGGGACCTTTCAATGACAAGGACCTTTATGTCTCCTTTCTGCCTCGAGTCAGGGTTCTCAATGTGGGGAGGCATCTGGCATCCTGGTTGTCACAGCTTGAGAAAGACAGTGCCCTGGCATCTAGTGGGCGGAGGCGGGGCTGCTGCTGCATGTCCCCTCAGGCCAGCACTGCCCGAGGACAAAAATGTCAGCAAATCATCAACAGGCCTCAGGTTGAGAGGCTCCTCTAGAAAACCTGTGAGCTGGAGACTTGAGCCTTTGTCACTCTCCCAATTCTCCAAGGGATTTCTTTCTCTTCTCTTCCTGCCACCTGTGTCCCCACAGTGGCACGGTCAAGCCTCTGCCTCGACAGGAGGACAAAAGAGTTCCCATAGCTCAGACATGGCTCCTCTGCCTGGTGGGCGGCAGCTTTTCTGAGCTGGCCCTGAGCGCCAGCTCTGGCTAGGCTTCATGTTTTCCGATTTTGTTCGGGAAATGAAGCAGCTTAAGAAATTCTGGGTTCTCATGAGGGCAAACAAGAACGTCTATCCCGAGATGCAGAGACCGGCCATGTTCTCAGTTTTTCTTTTCCCAATCACTGATTCAAACAGCTGCTGTGATCCTCCCGTGGCTAAAGCAGTGTGCTCGGTACTGTAGGGACCCAAGTGGCAGGAACCCTGCCTTCAAACAGCTGGAACTTCGTGGGAGACACAACAGGAGCCCACAGGACTCTGCTTCAAGGCAACGTCAGAAAAGTGGTTCAGACACTCAAGGTGCTATCGGGCTGTGGAAGGAGGGACCACTGAGAGACTCGGGGAAGGCACCTCCCTGAGCTGGGTCTTAAAGGGTGAGCAGAAGCTCAAGATGCAGAGGAGAGGGAGGAGCAGGGATGGGGGGAAGTGATGGGCAAGAGTCCAGGCAGACGTCACAGAGAGAAGGAGCAGAGGGAGCCGGAGCAGGCCTCCCGCAGAAGCTCTGGAAGGAGGTGGGCCCTGCAGTGATGTGCCTGGGTCTGGTCTTGGTTTCCACACGGATGTAACATCTAACTAGGGGCCAGCCGAAGCCCGAGTGAAGGTCACAAGAAAAGTGAGCTCTACATAGCTGGGGCCATTTCAACCATCGAACAGTGGCTCTATGTAGGCCAATGAGGCTATATTAAAATAAATTCAATTCAAAATCCAAATCACACACACAGGGGTGCTGAGGCGATGACTGTGGAAACAGGCTGGGAACCCTGGTAGAAGTTTCTTAAGGTGCACCACGGAGGGCAAGCCTTCTCCCTCCCCACAGCCTGCTGCCCCCAGAACTTGGAACAGCCCTGTATACAGAAGGAGCTCAAAGAATGCTGCTAAGTTAACCAGTAAGACTACAAGGTCAAAGCCCTGAAAAAGGTGAATAGATTCATTTAAGATTCTAGTCTCAGTATTTAACTTACTTTCCTAAGACTCATTACCTGTTGCTCGGTTGACAATACTTCCTCCCATGATGGAGCTTTGGATTCTGAAGCTTCCTCTGAGAAGTATGCAGCTCAGGTGCTGCAGACCTGGCTCCTGAAGGTCTGTGACTGTCTGAGGAGCCCCCAACTCAACAGACAGTGGGGACACTGAGTGTCTGGTAATAAGCATATGTCAGCATATTGTGGGGAACACAGACTTTGGAATTATCTACACCCAGGGGACAGCAGAGACGCATGTGCACGTGAAGTCGTGGCCACAGGGGACGGCAGGTGAGAGGCAATGGCGAGGACTTTTCTTTAAATACCAGTGGAGGACCTCAGCTTCTGTGAGAGTCCTGCTCCTAACATATTGCTCCAGGAACCCACACGATCATGAGAACTGCAGGTGGGAGGGAGTGGGAGGACCTCCTTTTTATATCCATGTGAAATCCTTGCAGGAACATTTGGGGGGCATGCGGGGAGGCAGGGAAGGAAAGGCTCCAGTTATCATCATCCTCTTTTCCTTGTCTTTTTAATAACTGCCACCAAAGCATCCCTCAGTCACAATGACACACGTACCTCTGTCCTTACTTTGGGAAAGACAGTGACTGACAACCCTGGATGCTGAACTCAGTCAACCGTAGACAAAGGGTAGCTCTGCTGAGCAGAGACAATGGTAAACGCAGGTAGGAAAAGAGAAGGGTTTTTTTTCAGTCCATAAAATAAGATTTTTTAACAGAAAACACAGAAAAATAGCTCCCATCCAGTACTCCATCAGAAAGAAAAAAGGAAAGCAAGAAAGCTGACAAACAGGAAGGACAGAGCATTCTGGAGGACACAGGCACTCTGGCGGGGCCGGCAGAAACACCTGGTGGTGCTCGTAAAACTGCACTCTGCAGCCAGCAAAGGGCAGGTGGAGGTTCAAGTCCAGCTGCCAATTCTGCAAACATATGCCACAAACCAAACAGGCCGAGCTCTGCAGGCTCAATAAGAAGGTAAGGGAGTTGAACTACACGTACCTGATACTCGGGAATGGACCGCACTGCCTCCACAGCGGCGAGGGACATCAGGTGCTGCACAAACGGAATCCTCTGTCCCAGCTGAGACCTCAGGGGGATGGAGACCAGCACAGTAGAAAGGGCACAGCCCACGGGGCTCAGCCAGGCATTCGGTCCCCGCCCTGGAACACAGACCATTGGGTATCTAGTGCTTCACCAAATGGACGCTCTGAGGTGGGAGAGTGCCCCACTTAGTATTCTGGAGTGAACTCAATAATCAGAAGGGCACTGTAAAACTTGAAGCTGTGTTGCTGAAAGGGTTTCCCTTAATTAGCATCATGCTCTGTCCCTGTGGCATATCATTTATGCTCTGATGACTGAATCTTACAGCGTCTGAACATGGGCTTGCCTCATTCTCACTGCCAGTCACAGGGTGAAGACAGACATGCTGGGAAACTGGAGCAGTCTACACTGATCCAGGAGAAGTTCTGCAAGCCACTTTTTCAAAGTGATCCTGTTATGGGGTTGTCCACACAATCCAGTGAACATCACTAAACACCACAGCAGTTTGCTTCAAGTGGGGGGACTGTATACCACATGCTGGTTATCTCAAGAAAATAGTTTTTAAAAAATGACCCCTAACATTAACTCTCTGAGTTGTTACTTTTCTTAAAATTTAATTTAGGAAAGTAAAATGATCAGAATGAGAAGTATGATTAATCAAAGTTCTTTTAGAATGTTTTTAAAAATCCACCATACTGAGTCCCATAGTTTTGAATCATTTTTTTTTCTTATTGAGCTATGTTCAAGAGGAATAAGTGCAAAATAACAGATTTTTATTTCTCTGCTTCTTCTGAAAAAGCTACACGAGCCTCTGAGAGCTAAAAGTATACTCTGTGGGCCTGGCTGGGGATCAGGAGGGGCAGGGCCAACCTGCTGGTGTCTCTTGCAGACACTGGGCAAGGAACCTGGGGCAGACCGCACATGGGCTCTGGAGGATCCAGGCTCTTGTTCCAAGACCAGCGGGTGGAAGAGGCCCAAGCAGCACCCTGCTTCTGTGGTCACTTTGCAAAAGATCATTGATCTAGTGTCCACTACATGAAAATTCCAGTGCTGGCTAGGGTGGGAATACACACAAGCGAGAAGCCCTTCCACATGATACTTAGAGACACAGAAGGACCCTTCGGAGGACCTTCAGGAAAATAAATCTAACACAGTTATGATTTACAAATGCAAAGACCAGAACACATCAGAGAGAAGAATTTACAAAATGTAGGCCCGTGGTTGTTAAGGCCATCAGAAGCAAATGTCGAATGACCAACCTACACGGCCGTTGAGAGAGTATTTTGATTCTGCTGAGGCTAACGCTTCCCAACACGCTTTCCTTCCCTCTGGCCCCATTTCAGAGGGCTGTGAAAATGGGAAAGACTCCAACTCAAGTTGTCTCGGTGATCAGCACACAAGATCAGTGGGCTCTCTGGCCAAAAGAATCATAGATTTTAGCAAAGAAAAACAACAAAAGATGACTGACCTTTGCCCTGGGTTTGCCGGACTGCAATGGCAATTAAGCCCATTTCCTGTGGCATCTCAAACATCAACCTGCAAACGGTGGGAAAAACTGGTCAGCTGGAACAGGGAATCGTGCAGGAGGAGCCCAGCTCCGACAGGAGGGGACAGGGCTTGTGTTCACCAGTGTGCGTGTGGCCAAGGAAGTGGAGTCGCACAGCTGGAAGGGCTCTGCCCTCCTTCACAGCCTCTGCAGTGAGAATGCCCACCAGAGCTGAAGAAATGCCCGAGGGCACTGAGCGCAGAGGAGGGACAGAGGCACCTGTCGGTGTCCTCAAGACTGGGTCAGATGATCCGTCTTAGGGATATTCCACCAAGTTCTTTCTTTCCCCTCTGGTGCATGCACTCTGCTCAAGTGACAACTAGCAATTGCTGACATTTGTTTCTACTTACGGTGAGTTTCTGTTCAAACACCAGTACACAATCACAACAGAAGTTTCTGATTATTCAGAAAACCAATATGGTGGCAATAAAGACGTTTAAAAGATACACCATCCCCTGAGAACTAATTATGCTTTAACTATAGTAAATAAATCTACACCTTCTGAGAACCTGGGAGAACCTGGATCATTTTAGGCTTTAGTCCTGCTTTTAAAATAGTTTCATTTAAAAGAATACAAACTTCCCTTTGGGGGATCGGGAGGAAAGTGCACCACATCTCCACCTAAGGAGTCAACATTAGCTTTTTTTTTTTTTTCCCAGAAAAGACAAAAACACACAAAACCCCTCACTCTGAGAATTTCCTCCTAACTACACTCTACATATTTTAACTATGTGTTGGACCTTTCCTCTGTCTTCCATGTAGTTGCCCATCTGGTACTGAGCACACAGAGCTCCCAGCAAAATTCAAGTCTGCCTGTTTGCAGTGCAGCTGGGAGGGACACTCTGCAGTATTTTCTTCTGAGAGCGGCAGGGCCTGGAGGAGGGAGAGCTGGTATTTTGTGTTAACATAAAGTTTCCAATGATCAATCTCCAGGGCTCCACAGTACCCCTGTGAGGAGAGAGGGGCTCTAAAGAAAGCCCCTGCCCTCAGCAGCTCTCCTTCCTGTCCAACAGGTTAAAGAAATTGCATGGAACTTCCCAAATGTCTGAATTTGGGAAAAGAAGAAACATACTTTAAAGTAGAGCAAAGCAACAGTGTTCCCGTGACCCAAGGACTCACAGAGCCCCACCTGCTGGTGGAGCTCAGAGGGGCCCTGAGGACCCTTCACTTGTTAAGGAGATCCCAGGTCACCCGGGGCAAGGCTTGTCTGGTGGGACAGTTGTGCTCCCCTGTGCTGCTGGGGCGGGCACTGGGCACTCTGGGCAAGCCATCCAGGGGCCCGACCCGCTTCCATCTCACATGGAACACAGCTCCGCAAGTATTTCTCTTGGACACCGTGAATAAACCATTGAGATGGGGTGTGCCTATGCACTTCTGGGCTCCAAGAATAAAGCTTCCTTTTCTTGTGCTGGACTGGCAGAAAGTCCTGAGAAGGAGTCTTTGACTGTGTGGGGAGTAAACATTGTCTTCCAGGAACCTCTGCTTTCTAGAGGGTCCCAGCGACCCTTCGCCTGGGTTCCTGAGGCCCAGGGCTTGGGCTGGGGGCTATTTAGCACATTGTGAGCAGATTGCAGAGGCTCTCTGGATTGCAGGCAATCTAGGATGTTCTTTAAATAAACAGACAGGAGATGGTCAAATGCTAGCGCTAGTGATGGTAATGGTGGAAGGGGGTGAAGGGAAACAGGGTGGTTCAGAAACCAAACACAAGCTTCCAGAACAAAGAGGAATGATTAAGGGAACACATGCACTCAACTGCTAGAGGTTTGGCAGCAGTTAACAGGGCATATTAATGAGAGGACTGAGCCTGTGTGCTGAAGGCCCAGAGGAAATTCTGCAAGGAGGGAGACAACCGGGGAAGGAGCTAATGCTTAGTTTGCGACAACTGGAGGCCGCCAGATTTATTTGTGCTATCTGAGATAACTCTGGGGGCCAAACCACAAGGCTCACAGTCAACAAAGAAGCATTTATGAACTTTGTCAATTTTGCATTTCTGAAAACAAAGCTGTTGCAGTTTGCTTTAGCAGAAAAAAGAAACCATAAATGCATTTCCATCCTTCATAGTTTATACCTTTACAAAAGGAGAAAAGAAAAAAAAATTCAAGGTTACATAACGATGACCTCCCGGCCTTGGTGTATTTTCTTTCCTGGCTGGCGAAGGTTCCTGTGAGTGGTGACTGTGTGCATTCACCTTTGTACCAAAGGGGCACCCAAGGAAAGACCTGTCCCCTGGGCACTGAGTGAGTCGCGGTGGCCCAGGGGGGCTCTGCCAAAGGAAAGACCTGATTTCCACCTGGTCATTAGGAATGTTTAAGAGTCATCATACTTAAGAGTCATCCAGAAGGCCGGGAAGAATTAGGAAAAACTCTGAATGAACAAAAGTTTAAATTCAGACCTATTCTATCCACTTGGAGGATCTAAGCCTAAGGAAGAGTCCACATTCACCACAGCGTTGGGAAAGGAAAAATCTGGAAGTGACGTAAGGGTTCACTGGGGGAATGGGTGACTGAATTATGGTATCTAAACTGATGGAACAATTTGTACTTGTTACAAATGACAGTTAGGAAGACTGTAGAGCAGCATGGATGCCAAACCTGCAATACAATGTTAAAAAGAGCAAGATTTATACTTTATTCCTTCTATGTAAAATTCCTAGAAAAGGGAGGGAGAGACCTGGTAAAATGGTAATGGTGGTTATATTAGGATGACTTTTTTCTTTCTTAAAAACTGTCTCTAATATGATAGATTACCTTTATTTTATTTTTTAATTGTAGTTGGACACAATACCTTTGTTTACTTATGTTTATGTGGTGCTGAGAATCGAACCCAGCATGTGCTAGGTGAGTGCTCTACCACTGAGCCACAACCCCAGCCCCAGATTACCTTTTAATTTAAGAATTATTTTTAATTTGGGGGGATTAAAAAGCATAGTTTTTAAGTTTATATATAATATCAGTAATTAATTATTCATAAATATTTCAGGGACTAAGACCAAAAGATCTGCTTTAATAATAACCCAGACAATGACCCATGGTTGGTTAATCTGCAGCACTCCACAGCTAACAAGTCAGAGCCTGTTTGATGGTAACCAGTGAGCAGAAATCCCAAAACCAGTCTGTCTGTATGAATGGCAGCCTACAAATCTTTACATTCTCTGACTCAGTGACTACACCTCTAGAACTGGCTCCTAAGGAGTATTCAGATGGGAAAACAAAATAATTCAGGCGTGGAACTATTCGTGGTGGCATTACTGATACATTTTGAAAACTCAAGAACAAGCTAAATGGTCCACCATAGAGGGATGAAAAAGCACCTGGGTCCCACATGATACAGTACCCTGCAGCCCTCAGTGACGTGGGCAAATGCCACTGGACTACATCAGGTGGTTCACTCAGGGTGCAAAATCCTAACACACTATGATGCCACTGATGTTAGAAAATACACTTTAAAAAATTTTGAGGAACACCACATTAAACCATTAAATGATTTTCTTAAGGAATTATTTGAAAAAAATTAAAAAGCGGAAAATAAGTCACCCCGGTAAGTCCCTCTTCTCTTTTAAGTGTATACTCTAGAATTTTTCTCCTTTAAAAAGAACAAACACAAAGACATGTCTTACAAGATAATTTCCTGAGGACTAGAAAATTTTTATTTTGGAGCTATTAAAATGATGTTCTAGATGAACAGTTATCACAATTATCACTATATCCATAAGCTTTATTTTTTAAAGTCTTAAAAACTGGTAGCATAATATGATTCCCTTTATATAAAGTATGTCTTTATAGAAGAATACAGGGCATATATTAACAGTGGTTATCTCCAGAGGATAGAGGTAGAATTATATGATGCTTTAAATCTCTTCTTTATGTAATGTCAGGGTGGTTAGATTCCAAGAGACTTTTATTTCCTTTTTTTTTTTTTTTACACTTTTTCTGGAATTTCCAATATTTCAACATTTGGACTGCAGCTATTTTACTATCAGGAAAGACATTGTTTATAAAAAGATTTATTTAAACTTAAGTTTTACGTAGGGTAAGCCTCACCCACCAGTTCACTTGCTGGTGAGGTGCCTGCCCCCTCCTCTCTGGAGAGATCATGTGAGAACAGGGCACAGGAGGCTCTCCCAGGCTCCAGAGTCGCCCAGCAGCCCCCATGAAACACTGGCCATGCCTGTCCTTCACTCATTCCCCATGCGAGGGCAGCACGCCAAGGCCCAGTTATGGGGTGCCCTGGTGCAAGGACAGCCTCTTTCCTAAAGAGATGTTGAGCAGCTTTCTCTGGAGGAAGGAACCCCACCACCCTCCAGGGGATCCCGCTCCCAGGCAGTCCCTGGAGTCTCCTTCCGGGTGGGTGCGGGAGTCTGGTGACCCCTGAGCCCCTCAGCCTGAGGGCGCCTGGAGTGAGCTGCGCTTTCTGTGTTGTTCCTCCCCCACGTTTGGCACCTGGTCTTGGTTCTGCCTTGGTTCTTGGCGTGCAGAGAGACATACATTCCCAGGCTGCCCCCAGGTCTTCCACCAGTGGGCCAGAAGAGGGGAGGCAAGGGGACCCTGGCAGTCCAAGGGCTCATGACTTACTTTGGTTTTTAAAACAGTTTGTTAGCAGGTGAATCCTCATCCATCACAGCCCGTGGGCACATGTGGGCCTGAAGGAAAGAGTGCCAACCCCCAATTCAAAACTAGTCTTTTTTTAAAATATTTTTTTAGTTGTAGATGGACACAGTGTCTTTATTTTACTTATTTATTTATTTGTATGTGGTGCTGAAGATTGAACCCAGGGCCTTACGCATGCGAGGCGAGCACTCTACCACTGAGCTACAGCCCCCAGACCCCCATCAAAATTGTCTTTTAAGTGTTTTACATTGTGAAAACCAATCATTCTATTTGTGCAGTACCTTTTTTAAAGCTAAAAAATACAAAATATCAAGATATTTTATTTTTTAAAAAAGTTTTCACTTGAACTGTACAACTGATTATTGTTATTATTATTATTATTA